ATAAAATAAATCGGTTTCTACACTCAATAATGTTTTCAGCCCGCCCAAGGCACCAGCCATAACATTGGCTCCATCAGTGGCGTGAGGTTACTTATTCGTAAAGGCAGGATTGGATAATGTTTTAAAGGTACAATTGCCAAATATTTATATGCAAATTGATGTTTGAAATATATATTTTTATAATTAAGAATTTAAAAACTTAATTTAACTATCCGACCGAAATCTTAATTTGCCTACCAACCTACCAAATGAAAAAGAAGCGACCACATTTGGTCGGAAAGGACCAATAGTGGCAACAATGATAGTATTTGAGCTGGCAGTCATTGCAAAGACAAAGTCGCGAAACATGTTTTTTATTGTCTTAAAATACTTCAAAAAAAAGTATATCAGTTAAAGCTGCTTCGAAATATAATTTAAAAAACTTTTCTTTTTCTCTAACCGCGCGGAATTTTTTTTACATTTTACGTTTGCAATCCGGAGTTGCGATAGTTCGTTCATACAACTTTGTTCGCAACATTGTCACTTCGCCAAAAATACCACTATGCGACGTTTTATGAATCGCACTAATGTGAATACCCAAAAAACCGATTTAATGAAAAGCCAACCCAAAAAGGTTAATTTCCGCTCTCGGATTTTTATTATTGGCGTTAAGACGCGTCGTCTGATACCACTTTCGAAATCGTTCGTCAATTTTCGGCCTTGGCAAGCTAAAGTGCACTACTACCCAGGTTTTTTTTTTATATAATCTATAGAAAGTGTAGATGTGAGGTAAGTACCAGACAGAAATTGCATATAGTTTGGCAAGCGAATAGGAAACATTTTTTAAGCACCCTGTGGTTATATTTTGAATCTCGGTTGAACTGCAACATTTTTATATGAGTCTGTGATGGTTCTTTGATAAACATTCGATTGTTTGTTCTTATAAAAATGTTTGAGGTGGATGCGATATCCGCAGATCACAAAGATGTTATTCATGACGTTGTATTTGACTATTACGGACGTCGCATGGCAACATGTTCTAGTGATCAAACGGTCAAAGTAAATAATATACACCTAATAAACAAAGATTGTTGTTAACATATTACAATTATAGATATGGGATGAGGATGAACTAGGCAAGTTAACAGTTTCAAGCAGCTGGAAGGCACATTCTGGTTCAATTTGGCGCATATCATGGGCTCATCCGGAATTTGGCCAAGTTTTGGCNTATGACTCCGGCTCGTAGATGGGTTCGTCGAACAACGCTCGTTGACTCACGTACGAGCGTCACAGACGTAGAATTCGCACCAAAATACTTAGGCCTTTTATTGGCAACGGTATCCGCAGATGGTATAATCCGAATTTACGAAGCACCAGATATAATGAACCTCTCACAGTGGCCTGTACAACACGAGATAGCAAACAAATTACCCCTGAGCTGTATATCGTGGAATACTTCAGCATACATGTTATCCTCGCACCTCATAGCCGTAAGAAAATTTAACCAATCTAAGTACGA